AACAAGGGTTGAAGTACATATTTTAGGAAGGCAAGTGTTATTTATTATGCGGTTTGTGTCTCAAACGTACAAAATGAAATTACCTTTAATGAAACACCCTTGACACGATGTTGAAATGGTCTTCAAAATTTATGAGAACCCTTCACCTGACGCAATTATCATCTCACATTTAACATTAAGACGCATAGAGTAAAGAGATGAAGTTGAAATTCAAAACACAAAACTAGTATTGTTTCTTTCTTGTAATAAAACGTAATATTAGAATAAGGCTTCTCAAAGCGTTGGACCGCGAGCCCCCAGTCACCGGTCTCTCCAAAACTATCAAGAAATAGGAAGATCGAAAAGTTATAATAACTCAAAAATTGGCACCCGCCCCTGCTTTCGGTCCATTACACTATTTTTTTTTTTTAGAAGCCCTGCATTAGAACACAATTTTTCACCTAGGTGCACCCGCCAGAACGCCCCACCCCCACCCCCAACCAAATTATGAGTAACGAAAGACAAACTGTTGCTAATACATCATGAATGTTGATTTCTAACAAGTAAAAAATTAAAATAATAGAAGCCCATAGATTATGGCTGTGGTTGTTCTTAGTATCATTCCATACATTATAGCTGTGGTTGTTCTTAGTATCATTCCATACATTATAGCTGTGGTTGTTCTTAGTATCATTCCATACATTATAGCTGTGGTTGTTCTTAGCAACATCCAATAGATTATGGCCATGGTTGTTCTTAGCAACATCCAATAGATTATGGCTACGGTTGCTCTTAATAACACCCCATAGACTATGGCTATGGTTGTTCTTAGTAACACCCCATAGATTATGGCTACGGTTGCTCTTAATAACACCCCATAGACTATGGCTATGGTTGTTCTTAGTAACACCCCATAGATTATGGCCATGGTTGTTCTTAGTAACACCCCATAGATTATGGCTATGGTTTCTCTTAATAACACCCCATAGATTATGGCTACGGTTGCTCTTAATAACACCCCATAGACTATGGCTATGGTTGTTCTTAGTAACACCCCATAGATTATGGCCATGGTTGTTCTTAGTAACACCCCATAGATTATGGCTATGGTTTCTCTTAATAACACCCCATAGATTATGGCTACGGTTGCTCTTAATAACACCCCATAGACTATGGCTATGGTTGTTCTTAGTAACACCCCATAGATTATGGCCATGGTTGTTCTTAGTAACACCCCATAGATTATGGCTATGGTTTCTCTTAATAACACCCCATAGATTATGGCTACGGTTGCTCTTAATAACACCCCATAGACTATGGCTATGGTTGTTCTTAGTAACACCCCATAGATTATGGCTATGGTTGTTCTTAGTAACACCCCATAGATTATGGATATGGTTGCTCTTAATAACACCCCATAGATTATGGCTATGGTTGCTCTTAGTAAAACCCCATAGATTATGGCTATGGTTGTTCTTAGTAACTCCCCATAGATTATGGCTATGGTTGTTCTCTTAGTAACACCCCATAGACTATGGCTATGGTTGTTCTTAGTAACACCCCATAGATTATGGCTAGGGCTATCCGTTTAGTAACATAAAATAATCCACTTCCCAGTGAACCATTCCTTCTCGTGCCGGTACATTCTCCTGCCATTTCTTGTAGTGGAATATCGGCTTCTATATCTGTCTGTTACGCAATGTTTCCAATCTGGTGATGAAAGGAGCGGGGGAAAGGTAACAGATGCCGACCGGAAGAAAACATAGTCCGGAATGCCCGCTCAAAGATAATCTAGGAAAGGTAATGGCGCTTTCTGGAACAGAATGTAGCATGCCGGGAAAGAAGGGCAGTAAAAAACAAAAATGTCTTCCCTTCGAAAGACAAGTTTAAGTAAAAAGTAAAAATAATTTTCTTCAAATTCACTACGCAAAGAAAGTATAGCGGAAGGGTAGTAAGACAGAGAGTATAGCGGAAGGGTAGTAAGACAGAGAGTGTAGCGGAAGGGTAGTAAGACAGAGAGTATAGCGGAAGGGTAGTAAGACAGAGAGTGTAGCGGAAGGGTAGTAAGACAGAAAGTATAGCGGAAAGGTATAAGACACGCCAAGAAGCCAAAGGAATCCAATTAAATGTAGAAAAAACGTGTATATATGGAATATATTTATATATAGCGGCCTATTTATATATTTTCTGCACAAACTTTCTTTGCGTTTATTTACCTGTGCCAAAAATGAAAGAAAAGATTTAAGAGTGAACTTAAGTCCCTAAGGAAAAACAAAAAAAAAGATCAGAAGAATAGAATGAAAGTGGCTCGAAGTAAACTATTAAATACAAAAAACAAAAAACAAACAAAAAATGGAAAAAACCAACGGCAGCCATGTAAACTTGTCATCGTTGTTTACACCGTGTTTAGTCAAAACGAAGTTCACAATTTAGGATGTCTTGTAAAACTCTTTACAAAACCATTTTCAGACCCCCTCATTTTCCCGTTATGGAAATATTTGCCTGAGGGCTTCAGCCCAGAGTTGAGCCTAACGTTAACACATACAAGGTGTCATTTTAGTTTTTGAGTGTATGCTTTCTGAACTCTTCAATCCTTGTCATTGAAGCAGATGGAGCGGTAGCATGCTAAATTGTAGCATAGTAAATAATGGTATAGTTATGGTAGCATACTAAATAATGGTGTAGTTATGGTAGCATACTAAATAATGGTATAGTTACGGTAGCATACTAAATAATGGTATAGTTATGGTAGCATACTAAATAATGGTATAGTTATGGTAGCATACTCAATAATGGTATGGTTATGGCGGCATACTAAATAACTGTTTAGAAATTGTAGCTTTACTAAATAATTATCTATAGAAGTTAGGCTTTGTTAAAGAGCGAGTTTCCAAAGTGCTACTTAATTCATACCTTCTACTCTCATGTGTTCCACAGTTTCAGCTTTTATCTCCTTCCGTCACGTAAGTTCTAAAGTGCACATTTATCTGTTTGGTCATAACAGTTTATGAAAATCATTCTCCATTTATTTGTTTTTTAATTCACATTCAATTCTCCGACACCCAAAAACAAAAAAAACAAAAAACAAAAAAAAAAAAAAAACCACAAAAAAAAAAAAAAAAAAAAAAAAAAAAAAAAAAAAAAAAAAAAAAAAAAAAAAAAAAAAAAACAAGAAAAAAAANTGACGTTGACAATAATGTCTATATGACGTTGACAATAATGTCTATATGACGTTGACAATAATGTCTATATGACGTTGACAATAATGTCTATATGACGTTGACAATAATGTCTATATGACGTTGACAATAATGTCTATATGACGTTGACAATAATGTCTATATGACGTTGACAATAATGTCTATATGACGTTGACAATAATGTCTATATGACGTTGACAATAATGTCTATATGACGTTGACAATAATGTCTATATGACGTTGACAATAATGTCTATATGACGTTGACAATAATGTCTATATGACGTTGACAATAATGTCTATATGACGTTGACAATAATTTCTATATGACGTTGACAATAATGTCTATATGACGTTGACAATAATGTCTATATGACGTGGACAATAATGTCTATATGACGCTATTAGTCGTCAAGAAATAAATAAACTCTTTTTTTTTTTTTTATTTCTTAAAACTTTTTTATTTACGGATCTATTGAAATTCTCCCACTCAATTTCTGTATATTCGAATAAAATATATTTTAATTATAACTCAAAAAGGACCTTGGTAAAACACATTGTGAAGGGAAAAAAAAATTTGAATATAAAATTGATCTATTTATTTGACTCATTATGCTGATGGAATATTCTAAAACTGTTAGCCCTATGAGACCTTTATAAGTAAATTAAAATGTTCAATTATTAGCTAAAGCCAACGTACATCGCCAGCTGTGAGTTAATTTGAGTGTACTTTCACCCCACTTCGGTGATATTAAAACATTTCACCATTCAAATTTTTCCACCAGATTCTGACACCCCAAAAAATCCGTGTTTATTCAATGTTTGCATTTATATTTTTTCTTTCTTTCATTGTTTCGTGATTTTCATAACACGTTATACTTTTTATTATTAAGAACTCTGTTTCGGGCTGCGAAGACTTTTCATAAATTTTATTTGCATCTCTCTGAACAGAAATCTTTATAGTAGTTTAAGTACACAATTTTGTAAATGAAAAACTAACACCCCTACGTCTTTATGTAACAACTTAAAATGTTCACCATAAAAGCATATTTACTCCATTCTAAACATTACAACAGGAAAATAACATAAATATGTTTAAGAAATTAACATTTTATTGAATAGCCACGTTCATAAATTACAGAAAAGATATGGGCACTGCTCAGTTGATAAGGCGTGTGTACCTCGGCTTAGGATACGATGACCAACACTTTGGTCAACACACATTGAAATTGTCCTTTCTCTGTTTCAGATATGGACAATATTTACGGCAACGCCCTCAGCCCGGGCCTCCATGCGGGGACAATGAGCCCCGGGGGCTACATCCACGCCAACCACCACGGCCATCAGATGAGCCACCACCGCCACCCCACCACCGCCATCAGCCCCGTCACCGCCAACGGCAGCAACAACAACAACAACATCAACAAACTCAGACACAACGGCGATGGTCTGGGCGGGTCCGTCAACCCTTACCAACCATCGACGCCGACGGCCAGCCCCAACACACCCACCGCCCACAGCAACAACGGCATGAACGGACACATGAACAGCTTAAACGCCAGCGCCGGGCTGAAGTCGGACAAGCACATTCACAGCTCACCCGGAAGTAACACGAGTAGTGACCTTTCAACTCACCAGCAGATGCAGCCGATGCTCAACGTGTCCATGAAGAAAGAAAGCGAAAACAACAACAAAACCGACAGCAACAAACTCCACAACAACAACAACAACAACAAAAACAGCGACAAAGAGAAACTCGATAATGACGACGACGGCGACGACGGAGATGAGGGAGGAGAGGATGGGGAGCCGAAGCGGAAGAAGAGGAGGAACAGGACGACCTTCACCAGCTTCCAGCTCGAGGAGATGGAGAGGGTCTTTCAGAAGACGCATTACCCGGATGTCTACGCCAGAGAACAGTTGGCCCTGAGGTGCAGCTTGACGGAGGCACGGGTTCAGGTGAGTTGATAGCATGGGGCATTGGGGGCGCGAGGGGGGTAAAAATAAAACGAGGTGGGTGACGAGGTAGATCTGGTTATTGGCCAGTACGGGAGCAAATGATTGACTCTCGACCCGTTATTTGATGTAATGGTTTGATGCAATGCGAGCTTGAACCATAAATCTGTGTGAAGCTTGCGATGAAAAGCTGGTATTTGTTCATTCCCCTTGTATGTTTACGGATCGGTTTTGTCAACGGCTAACAGCTGAGCACTTGTTCATAGCCAAGATATTTGTTTTCGACAAGGTCAATTGAAATGATAAGGTCAATTGAAACGACAAGGTCAATTGAAACGACAAGGTCAATTGAAATGATAAGGTCAGTTGAAACGAAAAGGTCAATTGAAAAGATAAGGTCAATTAAACGACAAGGTCAATTGAAATGATATGCTCAATTGAAACGACAAGGTCAATTGAAATGATAAGGTCAATTGAAACCACAAGGTCAATTGAAATGATAAGAACAATTGAAACGACAAGGTCAATTGACCTTGATACGCATAGCCGCTATTCGCACCCGGGTCCCTTTAGACTAAATCTCATCGCATTTCATTTGTGATAGTTTATTTTAGTTAAACTGAAGAAGTAAGTTTATAAACGTATAGTCCATTCAATTATCTTTCATTTGATACCTCATTTTTTCTTACAAACAAAACAAAAATATTTTAAATAATTTTTTAATCCCAAGCTCTCACTTCTGGTACCCGGGTACGAATAGCCGCATCCTTATTATTTATTCTATAATTTCAAAGCCAAGATATCGTAAAACAGATGATGGAATAGTTTTAAAAGTAAAGACAGCCACGAAGCTGTTTATCCAATAGTGACCATTTCTCCCTTCTCTTGGCACGATAGTGACCATTTCTCCCGTCTCTTGGCACGATAGTGACCATTTCTCCCGTCTCTTGGCACGATAGTGACCATTTCTCCCGTCTCTTGGCACGGTAGTGACCATTTCTTCTGTCTCTTGGCACGATAGTGACCATTTCTCCCGTCTCTTGGCACGATAGTGACCATTTCTTCTGTCTCTTGGCACGATAGTGACCATTTCTCCCTTCTCTTGGCACGATAGTGACCATTTCTCTCTTCTCTTGGCACGATAGTGACCCTTTCTCCCGTCTCTTGGCACGATAGTGACCATTTCTCCCGTCTCTTGGCACGATAGTGACCATTTCTCCCCTCTCTTGGCACGATAGTGACCATTTCTCCCGTCTCTTGGCACGATAGTGACCATTTTTCCCGTCTCTTGGCACGATAGTGACCATTTCTCCCGTCTCTTGGCACGATAGTTACCATTTTTTCCGTCTCTTGGCACGAGAGTGACCATTTCTCCCGTCTCTTGGCACGAGAGTAACCATTTCTCCCGTCTCTTGGCACGATAGTGACCATTTCTCCCTTCTTTTGGCACGATAGTGACCATTTCTCCCTTCTCTTGGCACGATAGTGACCATTTCTCCCGTCTCTTGGCACGATAGTGACCATTTCTCCCTTCTCTTGGCACGATAGTGACCATTTCTCCCTTCTCTTGGCACGATAGTGACCATTTCTCCCTTCTCTTGGCACGATAGTGACCATTTCTCCCGTCTCTTGGCACGACATTTCTATAAAGAAAACACACGCCACCGGGCGTAGAGTTGTCATGACAGTTGCCATGATAATTGTGGTGACAACTGTCATGATAACTGTGGTGGCAACTGTCATGATAATTGTGGTGACAACTGTCATGGTAACTGTGGTGGCAACTGTCATGATAACTGTGGTGGCAACTGTCATGGTAACTGTGGTGGCAACTGTCATGGTAACTGTGGTGGCAACTGTCATGATAACTGTGGTGGCAACTGTCATGATAATAGTGGCGACAACTGTCATGATAATTGTGGTGACAGTTGTCATGATAATTGGGACAACTGTCGTGACTTGCCCTTTTTTTGGAATATTTTATCGGCACATTCTACCGATTTCAATGCTTTATGGTATGTGGCCCACATTTTTTTTTTATATAACATAAGTATAAGAGAAATTGGAGATTTATGGGGGAAAAAACGTACTTCTTGGTTTGTGAATAAATCTTGAAATTTCTGCTGGTCTTTGTTTCCAGTATAAGGGAAAGCTTCTTTGCTGACATTTTAATGTTTTTCTTGATGGTTTATTGAATCAAGAATCAGACGGTAGATGTACTGGTTACAAAATAACAAAAAAGCTTATAAAAAATAGTTGAACATTCCACTATGGCTCCGGCCAAAATAAATAGCCTGTGAAAATGTTCATTCATCTTGTCACAGTATCTTTTTATCTCAACCATAACTTTCACTGACCGGATCTACAACCAAACTAATCCATGTGCAGCCGGCATACGAGGGACCCGACCGATATAACCCGTGTATAATAAACCCGTGTATAACAAACTCGTGTATAACAAACTCGTGTATAACAAACCCGTGTATAACAAACCCGTGTATAACTAACCCGAGTATAACAAACCCGTGTATAACAAACCCGAGTATAAACAACCCGTCTATAACCAAATGGTCTAATAACCACCGGTCTGTGAAGATCCCGTCTATGACCAAATCATCTATTTACAAGCCGTCTGTAAGCAACGACTGCGCCCCTGCCCCGACACCCCCACCACCCACCTCGTCATCAAGTGGTCAGCTCGGCACGCATTCATGTATCGGTACGAGTGGATCCCCCTTCGCGGGGTCAAGTGGTCAGTTTTTGGCTGACCGTGTGGTCTGATCGAGAGGTTGGTTCAAACTTCTTCTGTCCCGATTAACGGTGGCATGTCGGAAGTCCCTAACAGCGACCCAGCGCCAGGAGCTGACACATAGCAGCTTTAGAAATTACCTCTAGTTCACAAATTCTATAATTCTACTTTCGCATTGACAAATAAAACATTTGCGATTTCCTTTAATTTCCGCGTGTAGTTCACGTGACAACGAACCTTCTGCGAGCCTCTTCAACGTTCGCAAAACAAAATCTTACATTTTAAGAAGGGTTTCTTAGCCTGTTATTTTCCATGGCCCCCATAGCCAGACAGTAGAAGGCCGATGACGTAACATGTCTCTTGGGTTTCCTTTACAACATGTCAGATATGTTCCGTCCTGTTCTCAAAATGAGTGAGTCTACAAATGTAATACACAAAGTGATCCCATCTATTTTTTTGCTTCGTTGGTCGTGGCGCTGAACTGAACCTATACAAAAAACTCTTACTTAATACTTCCTATACATAAAACTCTTACTTAATACTTCCTATACATAAAACTCTTACTTAATACTTCCTATACATAAAACTCTTACTTAATACTTCCTATACATAAAACTCTTACTTAATACTTCCTATACATAAAACTCTTACTTAATACTTCCTATACATAAAACTCTTACTTAATACTTCCTATACATAAAACTCTTATTTAATACTTCCTATACATAAAACTCTTACTTAATACTTCCTATACATAAAACTCTTACTTAATACTTCCTATACATAAAACTCTTATTTAATACTTCCTATACATAAAACTCTTACTTAATACTTCCTATACATAAAACTCTTACTTAGTACTTCCTATACATAAAACTCTTACTTAATACTTCCTATACATAAAACTCTTACTTAATACTTCCTATACATAAAACTCTTACTTAATACTTCCTATACATAAAACTCTTACTTAGTACTTCCTATACATAAAACTCTTACTTAATACTTCCTATACATAAAACTCTTACTTAATACTTTCTATACATACAACTCTTACTTAATACTTCCTATACATAAATCTCTTACTTAATACTTCCTATACATAAAACTCTTACTTAATACTTCCTATACATAAAACTCTTACTTAATACTTCCTATACATAAAACTCTTACTTAATACTTCCTATACATAAAACTCTTACTTAATACTTCCTATACATAAAACTCTTACTTAATACTTCCTATACATAAAACTCTTACTTAATACTTCCTATACATAAAACTCTTACTTAATACTTCCTATACATAAAACTCTTACTTAATACTTCCTATACATAAAACTCTTACTTAATACTTCCTATACATAAAACTCTTACTTAATACTTCCTATACATAAAACTCTTACTTAATACTTCCTATACATAAAACTCTTACTTAATACTTCCTATACATAAAACTCTTACTTAATACTTCCTATACATAAAACTCTTACTTAATACTTCCTATACATAAAACTCTTACTTAATACTTCCTATACATAAAACTCTTACTTAATACTTCCTATACATAAAACTCTTACTTAATACTTCCTATACATAAAACTCTTACTTAATACTTCCTATACATAAAACTCTTACTTAATACTTCCTATACATAAAACTCTTACTTAATACTTCCTATACATAAAACTCTTACTTAATACTTCCTATACATAAAACTCTTACTTAATACTTCCTATACATAAAACTCTTACTTAATACTTCCTATACATAAAACTCTTACTTAATACTTCCTATACATAAAACTCTTATTTAATACTTCCTATACATAAAACTCTTATTTAATACGTCCCATACATAAAACTCTTACTTAGTACTTCCTATACATAAAACTCTTATTTAATACGTCCCACACATAAAACTCTTACTTAGTACTTCCTATACATAAAACTCTTACTTTATACTTCCTAATACATAAAATTCTAACTTAATACTTCCTATACATAAAATTCTTACTTAATGCTTCCTATACATAAAATTCTTACTTCATACTTCCTATAAGTAAATTCTTACTTAACACTTCCTGTACATAACACTCCTACTCGTTACTTAAGATGGCGATTGTTCCATTGTTTTGGAAGGAAGATTGAAATAGATATATATTTTTTTTTCATTTTTAAAAGTTACTTTTCTTGTATGTCGGGATGTGGAAAATACAGTTAATGGCATCCAATTAGCAACCCCCCCCCCACTCACTATTCGAA